TGATACCCTCTTTCAGCCTCTGATGAAGACATTTCTGTCCTGCCTGGTCCCACAGCCATTTAGTCCCAATAAGCACACTGAAGCTTATATTAATCATAAACTGTTGGCCAATGGCTTAGGCTTCTTATTGGCTAGCTCTCTCTTAATTATTAACCCATTTCTATTAAGCTATGTATTGCCATGAGGCCGTGGCTTACCCATAATGCTCAGGCATGTTACTATTTCTGTGGCTTCCCTGGCAGCTCCTCTCTGCCTTCCTCTTCCCAGCATTCACCTAGTGTGGTAGCCCCACTTACACTTCCTGCTTGGCTACTGGCCAATCAGCATTTATTCATCAACCAATAAGAGAAACATATATTCACACCATACAGAAGGACATGCCCCATCACTGTGGACACTGCATACATGCCACACATGCAGGTGTAGGTGAAACACTCAAGTACAGAAAGATTTCTTTTTAGTTATATGTTCCTGTGTATAGGTATGAGCATGTGAGTTAGGTGTGGCCATGAGTGGAGGTCACAGAAACCAGATTCTCTGGAGCTGGAGTGACAGATGGTTGTAAGCTGCCTGACATGGGTGCTAGGAACTGAACTTGGGTCCTCTGCAGAAGTACTACATACCACTGAGCTCTCCAGATCCCCAAAATAAAGAAATCTAAAAGAAAATAATAAACTTGTCTGTTTCCCAGGTTGTAGTGGTACGCACCTTTTGTCCCAGCACTTGGGAGGCAGAGGAAGGTGTACCTCTGTGGTTTGAGGCCAGCCTGGTCCACACACCAAGTTCCAGTACAGTCAGGGCAGTTACATAGAGAAAACCTGCCTCAACAAACCAAAAACCAAACAAGAAGAAGCCTGTCAGCCTGGGCTACAGAGCATGTTCCAGGACAGCTAGGGATACACAAAGAAGCTGTCTCAAAAAAAAAAAAAGAAACATAAATAAACAGATAAGTAAATAAATAAAAACCTAAAAATTAAATAAAATAAAAAGAAGCCTGAACAACAAGCAGTGGCGGCGCATGCCTTTAATTCAGCACTTGGAAGAGGCAGGTGGATCTCTTGAGTTCCAGGATAGCCAGGGCTACACAGAGAAACCCTGTTTTAAACGCCTCCCATCCCCCTCAAAAGTATCCTGGGCTGATAAGGCTGGTTGAAGTAGAACACCTGGTCTATAGAGGTCATTTTTTACACTTTGTAAAGAGGTTAAGAGGTTTTCAGGTTTTTCATGTTAGCACTTCTGGAAGCATAAAAGTGGGTCAACAGGGCTTTATATAGAATAGGCAAGCACTCTACCACTGAGCTATGTCAACAGCCTGGAACACCGACTTATGTTAACAGTATTTGTTGCTCTGTTGCATAGCAGTTGATAGACACATTAGTAAAAGTTACTTAAAATATACAGTATAGCTGGGCGTTAGTGGCACTCGGGAGGCAGAGGCAGGCAGATCTCTGTGAGTTCGAGGCCAGCTTGGTCTCCAGAGTGAGTGCCAGGATAAGTTCCAAAGCTACACAGAGAAACCCTATCTCAAAAAACCAAACAGAAAAAAAAGAGAGTTAGAATCGGATTATTTAAAAAAGACTTTAAGCTGGGCGTTGGTGGCGCACACTTTTAGTCCCAGCACTCGAGAGGCAGAGGCAGGTGGATCTCTGTGAGTTCGAGACCAGCCTGGTCTACAAGAGCTAGTTCCAGGACAGTCTCCAAAGCCACAGAGAAACTCCGTCTTGAAAAACCAAAAAAAAAAAAAAAAGATTTTGTTGAGGTAAAATTTACCTAACACAAACTTCACATTAACCATTTAAAAATATACAATTTAGTATATTCCTTTAAAAAGTAAGCAATTTTATGTTTTTTAAAAAAGATTTGTTTGTGTTTTGTCTATATGTATCCATGTGCCCATGTACATGTCTAGTGTCCTCTCAGGTCAGAAGAGGGCATCAGGTCCTCAGGATCTGGTGTTAATGATAACTGTGAGCCACCAAGTGGACCGAACCCAGGTGCTCTGCAACAAATGCTCTTAACTGCTGAGCTGTGTCTCTAGCTGCCCCCCCACAAGAAATCTACTTTCTAAAAGACATTTCTGGTTTTAGTTCAATAAAACAATAAACATAATTCCACTGACAGAAATTATAGGCTTACAAACCCTTCACCTTTTCTGCTGGGCTTGGTAACACACTCCTATAATGCCAGCAACTAAGGAGAAACCAGGAGGAGCATGAATTCAAGGTGATCCTCAGCTCCTCAAAGACTTTGAGGCTGACCTGAGCTAGTTTTAGGAGTCCCAGTCTCAAAACAAACAAGCAACAGTAAGGAATTCCACACCTTTTATTTTTAAAAGATTAAGTGGGGTCAGTGAGATGGCTCATTGGCAAAGGTGCTTGGGACCAAGCCTCATGATCTGAGTTTAATCCCCTGGTCCCATAAGGTAGGAGAGAACCTATGCCTGAAATGTATCTTTAGGCTTCCACATGTATGCAGTGACACTACACACACACACACACACACACACACACACACACACACACAGGACTTAAGGGGCCAGAGAGATAACTCAGATTTCTCAGAAGACCCTTCAATTCCTATCACCCACATTAGTCAGCCTGTAACTTCAGCCCCAGGTAATCCAATGTCCTCCACTGGCCCCTATACACACATGGAACACACACACACACACACACACACACACACACACACTCACACCTTCAAGAGATGGTTTAGCAAGTTAACAGTACTTGCTGTTTTTGTAGAGGATCAGGTTATATTCCTTGTACCCACGTAGTGGCGGCTCAAGACCATTTGTAACTCCAGTTCCGGGGGATCTGATGCTCTCTTCTGAGCTCCAAAGCCACCAGGTAAACATGATATACCTTATATTTTTAATTACTTAAAAATAAAAGCAAGTCTTTAAAAGGCTAAGTGACCAGGCGTAGTGACAGACACCTCTAACTCTAGCACTGGGGAGTCTGAAGCAGGGGGACCTAAAGCTCAAGGCCAGTCTAGGCTACATAGCAAAACCTTACTTTGTGATTCTGGCACCCCAGAGAATTTCAAGGCCTGCTTGGAATATGTACCAAAAATGTGTTTCAAGAAAAAAAGAGTAAGTCATTACTGTGAACATTCAGACACTACCAGTATATAGGGCAAAATGTGAAAGGATTTCCCTTAGCAACACTACTAAATGCTCAAAGATAGCAGTTGTTAAGGGAATGTCATGTTCTAATAGAGTTTGCCCAATACATACACTTACAAATAAGCTTAAAAACAAGACTTTGAGGGTGCAAAATTATGTATTGCTTTGCATATTATTTTCTACAGTGGTGACACACACCTTTATTCCCAGCACTTGGGAGGCAGAGGCAGGTGGATCTCTGAGTTTGCAGCCTGTCTGGTGTACAGAGTGAGTGCTAGGACAGTCAGGGCTACACAAAGAAACACTGTCTTGAATTCCACCTGCCCCTGTCTGCTAATGAAAAAGAATGAATTGGGATTGTCCCAAAACATCATATCTTGGACTAGAAAGATAACTCATGTTAAGAGCTCTTGATGCTTTTGCACAGCAGCCACGATTGGTTCCTAGCTCCCACATGGCAGGTCACAGCTGTCTTCAACCATAGTTCCAGGGGATCCCACAGCCTTTTGCAGCCTCCATGGAGGCAGCGAGCATTCATCCATGAAGCGAAAGTAAAAAACATAAAGCCATATCAATTTCTTGGCCTAGCATAGAGACTGCTCACTAGATCGTATCTTTGATAATTATATTTCTTACTTTCTTCTTTGCAACCTTCTAGTTCAATGATTTCATTTACTAGTTTTTCGTTTTTGATTTTTCAAATAGGATCTCATGTAGCCCAGACTAGTCTCCAACTCACTTGGATGAGGCTGAATTCCTGTTCCTCTTTCACTACAGTGTTTTGAATACAGGCATGGCCACCATGCCAGGGTTAGCTTAGATTTTAGTCTTACAATGTAATTCAAATACTCAGATAGATAGAGAAATTAGTTTATTTACTGGTTTAACAGCTGTAATATTTAATGGACATTTCAAAAATGTAACATAGGTTTTGTGTACTAGAGAAAGTGCAGAATGCACAGGAAATAGCATTGGAATGAAGAGCTTTAGTATACTTTAACTATAGTAGTTAACTGTGTAAACCTAGGGTTGGTTTTCTATACCTTTAAAATTAGAGGGTATGAATAATTGTTACTAATTGTTGATGTTTTAAAGCTCGAAGAGTATATAGTTCTAAGTCACAAAAGTTCAAAAACACAATGTTAAGATCCATCTGTTCGGATGCTAAACATCAAGCTAAAAAAAAAAAATAGCTGAGTGTAGTAGCTCTCACCTGTAACCTAGGAAGGCAAATGCAAGATTTTCATGAGTTTGAGGCTAGCATGAACAACATAGTGTGAGAATGCTTCAAAGAAAACAGAACAAAAAATAAACAGAAAGGAATATTATATGTTTTTCACATCTAAAAGTATATTCTACAAAGGGATGGCATGGGATGTCTTAGTTTGCTCATTCGTGTGTGTCAAGCACACAGAACACAGCTGAGCGAGCTGATAAATGGGCACAAAACTGGCAGTATCTCACTCTTTTACTTCTCTCACTCCTGGGCTGACAAGATAGACAGGTCTTACAACACGTCCGAGGGAGCTACATGGTTGACAACAGAAGCTACACGTCCGAGGGAGCTACATGGTTGACAACAGAAGCTTGCATTATACCATTTGGGTTGCAAATCGACCCCAGCTCCTGAAGTGTCACAACTTGTACCTGCACCTTCCCCAGCTGCTGGAAGCCAGCTGGTCACCTACTCCAGCCTGCTTTTGGATTCGAAACCCCACGACACAAAAAGTTACAGCTCCCGCTTTTGTGAAGCCAACTTCCTCCCAAAGACGGAATCTAAGTCACGCCTAACACACATCCCGGGGAAGGAGCGAGCTGACCCTCTCTAGTCCCAAGCCGAGAAAGTCCCTGACGCTGGCAGGCGCCGCCTCACCTCCTTCTTTCTTTGGGCGGAGGCCGAGGGAACCCTGGACATGAGCAGCAGTGCCACCGCCGCGGTCGCACACACACACCAGAGCCACCTCGGTGAGGCCATGTTTGCTCTTCTCCCTA